TCGCACCTTGTAACTACCCCGTTACCCGTTTAAGGTGAGCCAGGGCGAAAAAAATTACCCATTTATGTACCTTTTTTTTGTAGGAATATAATGTGGCTCAAACAAGGGTACTTTTAAACTACTTAATTCCTTAAATATGAACTTTGAAATTACATTTTATATAAGTTAACTGAAAGGTAAAAAAAGAGAACCCATCACAAAAAAAGGCAAATAAATGATGAATTTAGTGATCTTAAATAAAAGCTGTCAAAGGAAGAAGAAGGGCGTAAAATCTAAACAATTTTCAAATTACCAGGAAAAAGTTAATTCACTAAGGCCATGCATGGTCTATAATCAGACCATTAGGCTTCATTCCAGCGGTTGCTATGGTTCCTACCTCAAGCAATGAGGCAGATCGCTGAGGAAGCTATTTCCTAAACAGAAAATGAGAAAGCTTTCATTCATCCAATTTTCATTCACGTCAATTACCAAAAATAATAATAATAATAATAATAATAATAATAATAATAATAATAATAATAATAATAATAGAAATGTAAATAATCAGCTTCCATCTATTTGATCACATGCTCCAAGAAATATTATTGAGCTTCTGGGTGGGGCTTGATGAGGAAGAATGGGTGGGAAAAGATTGAGGAAAATGAAGAGTAAATTTGGGATGAAGAGATCACCACAATACAGTAATTTTTTTTTTAATGTTTTTATTGAGTCAGGATTATAATTGTAAATTTGTTGTAGTGTATTTATTGAAAATAAGTTTTAATTGTGGTGTGGTTAATATGTGGTGTAGTAAATAATTTTTTTAGTGGTAATATAATAACCCAAAGAAAAATAAAAGATAAAATTAAAACGAAAAATTTGTACTTAGTAGAATTTTTTTTTTTTAAATATTTCCATGCCTTTAAAACATGGTCTAAGATTTTTTATTCAATATTATACTTGAATATCTAAATTAGATCAATGTGGATTTAAGTAAATAAATTTGCAGAATTTTATCCTAATAAATTGGATAAATATAATGATAATAAATGTAAACTAATATTCTGTTCAACCATTTTTTTGTTACAAGTAATAAAATTTTATCTAAGGTAAGAGTGTAATTGCCTAAATGAAATTTCCAAGAAAAGAGAACTATAAAATTAAACACTATTGACTTCTAAATTTATTACAAAAAAATATGTTCAATATTTGAACTTTCATTGATGCATCGTCTTGTAGCTCAATTTGTCAGAGCGTTGGTCCTATGAGCCGATGGTCGTAGGTTCAAACCCTTCGATACTTAAATATCTGTTTAGCATATATGTATAGTCGTTTTAATAAATATTTGATTGGATGGGTACACATTTGAAAATAGATTTTCTTAGATGATCATAATTTTTTGGTGTTAGAAATTATGGCCAAACATAGTGAAGTGACACGAATACCTCACATGTTAGATTTTCTGGAAATAAAGAATTATCTAGTGAATTCAAAAGAAAAGAAGAAATAGTTCTATTTCATAAAACATTGTTTAATTCTATTTCTTGGTTGCAAATGCGAGTTCTTGTTCAAATATATAGATTTATCTCCTAAAAATGAACCGTGGAGATCTGATCCTAAGTCCATATTGACAACTTAGACTATTATACCAAAATATTTTTAAAAACTTCCAATGGAATTTCATAGAATATTAAGCTTTTACAACTCCCTACAAACATTAAGCACTTTAGAATCGTTATTTTTTATAAACACCTTTTATTTATTTTACATGAAGTAGAATATTCTAGTAACATGCAACACTTTTATCTAGTTTAGTGCTGCACATAGAAGATATATCTGAAAATTGATTACTTAATCCTTTACAATCTTTATTAATTTGATTTCTCCAAGTTTTTAGATATTGACTAGGATATTCGAGTAACATGCAACATTTTATGGTGTTTTATGATGCACATAGAAGGCATATTGAAATTTTGATTACTTTAATTCTTGTAATCTCTATTAATTTATTTTCTTCGAATTTTCAGAGATTGAAAATATGGTAATTTAAATATTAAAATGGTGGGAGTTTAAAAAGAATACTTATATAGTGTGTGATCTATTAACAACGTTGTTAATAATAATAGCATTGGATTCGATCATTGGGCAAATAAACAAAAAAAAGGAGAAATCAAAAGTTACAGAAAAGTCGTTCCTACATGGACCAATATGTGAAAAACATTCCCCTGTTTGATGAAGATTAAAATTAAATTTTGAGTAGCTTTTGATTAAAAATAAAATAAAATAAATTGAAATGTATGGTTGAAAAGTTGTGGGACCCAATAAATATGTGATTAAGATTGATTGTTTGTCTTTAATTTGAATTAAAATTTGATTTGAATCAATATCAAACAAGGGCTCAATTTCTCATTTTATCCTCATATTTTATTTTCCTTTTGTCGATCGTGCCCTTTGTCCATCTATTTAAAATAAATACTATGGATTAATGTACTTGATTAAAAATTACGGAACCGTTCGACCATTTATATATATAATAATTAATTTATTTACTATAGACTATAGCATGTATATCTTGAAAGTTGAGAGTTCTCTACATGTTATTTTGAAAAAATTAATTATTCCATGTTTTATGAAATCTATCTACTCTAGAACATAAAAAGTGTGGATAGGTGGGAAATATCCAGTTTCCATTTTGTCCTCATATATATTTTCCTTTTGTCCATAATTTTCTTAGACCATCTCTAATGGTCTACACCAAGTTTGGTACAGAACATTGGAGACCAATTTGCACTAACTTTTACAATAAATTTTATTTGAATTATTTTATACCAAAATTTATTTTTCAAATTTTATTATTAATGAAGTATAATATTACATTGATTAATAAATTGAAAAAGACATTAAAAATTTATTTATTATTGAATAATTATTACTTATTAATTGATTAGAATTTAAAAAATAAATATTAAATAAAAATACCATCATAATAAAATAATTATGAATCAGTTAAAATCTATTAATACAAAAATATTAAATAAGGACATAGATGGAAGAAACAATTTTTATAAAGTGTGAACAAAGGCAAAATGGAATTAAATGAAAAATTCTAAATTTGGTGTTAATGAAGATAACACTATTCATTTCACTAAAAATTGTACTATATTTGATGTACCATTGGAGATACCCTTAGAGCATATATTTAAAAGAAATCCTATGAATTAATATGCTTAACTAAAATTTAAGGGTACATAAAGAAATGTTCGTATAATAGTTTCACATATGATGTCCATAGAAATCTATTTTAAAAAAAACGTAAACATTTCATAATCAGATTAAAGACATTAAATCACCGGCTTCTCCATGACATGTTGCATCTCCATCTACCATCATTCATGCCCCCAAGCAAATCAAATCAACAAGTAGGAAGGGAATTAACCCATGAGTTTAAAACTCAATAGATATTATCGGTGCATTTCGTTATCAAATTAAATAATTCGAACTGTAGATTCATACCATCGCACGTAGATGTATTTTCAGCAAAATTCGATTTCTATAGCATAACACGTAGAGCCGGAGATTGATCATCCAAACTATAGCAGTGCCGAAGTACCATACCTGGAGGTACCATTTCATTCAAATTTTTAACGAAAAATCATAATTTGAAAACAAAATAACACTTGTACCTTTATCTACCTTGAATTTTCTTGAATATAAAAGAACAAAATGTGTAAAAAAAAGCCTTTCTTATTCACATACGTGCCATTCCCTTAAACTTAACTTGACAGGAAATATATTTCTGAGAGAAAAAAAGAATAAATTCGAATTGGAGGAGAGGAGTAGTGAAAAAGTGACTTTCCTCTTCTTGTAATCTCCCCTTTTAATGAAAAACTAAATTGGGGGGGGGGGTTTGTATTACTATTAAATTTGTTAAATTGAGTATTGAATTTAGAATTTAAAGAGTTTTTAAGCCATAAAAAAATAATTCATATAAAAAGTTTTATAAAACATCTACCTAATGAAATAAAAGAAAATGAATCATTCATATGTTTTGTAACATATCTTTATCAATTCCCAATAATAAAATAATTATTTCATCCAATTAATTTGATATAATTGTTCTTAATGTGCGAAACGTTGAGTTTTTAACTGAAAAATAATTTTGTAAAAATATTTTTATAAAAATATCTACATGGTGATTTGAATTAGGTTGTCTATATAAAATACTATGTAGATGACCATTGTGGCAACACAACTCGTTAAATTTTTGTAATCAAATTTACTTGTTGAGCTTTTAATTAACTTATAGCTTGAACTTTAATAATCTTAAATGGGCTGAGTGTCCCTAGCTCAATTATTAAATAGGCTACATCATCCAACTTAAGAATAAAAATTCAGGACCTTGCACTTATCTTCGCGCTATCGAAACCTAAATATTTGGCCCCAATAAAATTGTATTTATACATGTATCATCTTAGTCCCCTAACTTTCCAAATTTAAAATATATTATATAAAATAATTAATTTTAGTATGTGAAAAGTTTTGGGATTTTATAGTATTTGTCTAAAAGATTTAAGTGTTTAGAAAATCTGGGATTTTTTTTTTTCAATACAGATAATAGGAAAAAAAACAGTGATTTTTTTTTTCTTCTTCTATACAGATAATAGGGAAATTTAGTTTGCGAGGTGCAACATGGGAGTTTATCTTGGAGCCGATTATGATTCTTAGTAGATATTTATAAAACATTTGGTTACCACTTGGTTATTGAAAGAAATAGAATAGGTAATATTATGCTTACCCATCAAATTAAAATTTTCTAGGTTATTAAAATTTATTAGTGAATCAGAAATTAACGTAATCAATTGTGGGTGCAGTTGTAAATAAATATTAGGAAGCAGAAACGAGACCATAGCCCAATAATATGAAATCGATTAATCAAAAGAAAGAGAAACTCTTGCAATGTATTAAAGCTGATTTTATTGATTATTCCTTGTTGTATTGAGAAAATTTCTTTTTCTCAAACATCATATTTTATTTCCAATTTCTCTTTTCTTCAGCTTTCCTATCCAATCCTTGGTATGAGCGCAACTTTGCCATGGTCATCAACAAAAATCCAAACTCGGTTACAACAATAATCTTGAATTACTTTATTCCTTTTGGGAACTATCACGCCAGTCACATTTTGGTTGTCTTTCTCGATGATGTTCTTGGCTTGGTTTCCGTCCATACCGACTGTGTTAGGCCACGTCATCTCTGCATAGAAATTTCATTATAAACCAAATGAATTACTAGTAAATTACAAAAAATAAAATAAAATAAAATAAAAATAAAAATAAATACAAAATATTTTTAAAACGAAACTTATAAATATTAATGTATAGTGCAACTCAAAAATTAGCAACAGGTGAGAAGGACACGAATATTTACTGTCGCATTTTCCAGATTCACAAGGAGGATAGGGAAAAAGTGAAGACATGTCTTTGTATTTTCGCCAAAATTCTTTTGTTGTTGTGATGGCAAGAGTACTCTCTTACACCTTTTTATACCCCTTTTTTTTTTTTTTTTTTGTGAATGCAGATTTTCTGAGAAAGTGTTGGTGATTGAAATCTTAAAGAATTTTTAGAATCATTATGTGATTTTATAGATTTATTCTTGTCATTTTTAGAATCATTTTATAGAAAGTGTATGCAGATTTTGTGAGAAATTGTTGGTGATTGAAATCTTAAAGAATTTTTAGAATCATTATGTGATTTTATAGATTTATTCTTGTCATTTTTAGAATCATTTTATAGAAAGTGTCTGCAGATTTTGTGAGAAAGTGTAGGTGATTGAAATCTTAAATAATTTTTAGAATCATTATGTAATTTTATAGATTTATTCTTGTAATTTTGATAGATTATATAAATAGTTTTCGGATTCGAACTCTATGTTTTAAGAAATTTTTAAGGTTTGTGGATTCTAATACATTTCGGGAATTTAAAGACATTAACGTAATTCTATTTTGTAGATTTTAAGGATTTCTTATGACTATGGAATAATATCATTCAACATATATAACTTAAAAAGGAGAAATTTAATATTTTTGCTTAAAAGGTAAAAAATTCAATGTTTAATACTGAATTTTTTTTTCCAATAACTATTAAAAATAAATTCACTTTTATCCGAAAAATTTAACAAAACTGCAACGTGTGGAACTAATTAATTAAACATAAACAAATAAAAATTGATTCAATCTGAAGATAGATTCATTTTCATTATAGCGTCGAATATTAGAAATTTGTTCTGAAAATTTTATAAGATTAAAGTCTTGTTCAGTTGTTAAATAGAATTTGAAAAGAAGAATTGACTATTTCGTTTTTTATTCTTATTCGTCATAAATGGAATTGTGGTTCAAAATTCCAATACAAATGAGAACTCAATTCCTCATTCCGTTTTCTCCCTCACTTTGAATTTCTAAATAAGAATGGAAGAGGAAATCTTTTTCTGCAATTTTTTTCACTTAAATTTCATTTCTTTAAGTTTATTAAATGTATAAATAATAGTGCTTTATATTTGTAGGCTCGAAATCCACTAAAATCTGAAGGGTAGGGATTAAATTCATCAAGATCATGGAAACAGGCAAAAATCTATAGAAGTTCTTCAAATCATCAAAATATTTGTAAACATTACTACGTCTTTGCACATATATGATTTCATAATACTTTTGGTTTACCACTTTAGGAATCAAAATATGAAGACAATGTACGAGTGAAAGATGATAATACAATGTAAATGTATGAAGCACCGTGCATTTTGTTCTTAATTTTTCCTTTGAAGGGTTGGGACCATTTCTCTTTCCGTTGAAATTGAATGGCTATTTTTTAACCTCCCAAAAATATGATTTTATTTAAGGAGTGTTCCCAACTCTGAAATCAATAGATTTCTTAAGAGTTATGGATTTCATGCATTTAAATATTTTTTCAAAAAAAAAATATATATATATAATTTTAGATTTCAATATACTCATCGGAATTCGATGGATTTCTTGACATTACAATAAAATTATATAACTTTTTTTTCATTCATTAGAAGAAAAATAAAAAATACGTATTTGTAATACAAAATTAGCAAACCCATGAATCGCTGTTGAAAAATTGATCACTTTGTCGACTAGAAAATCAGACATTATAGTTATAATTATTGGCTTGAAGGCCACTAGAATCTATTAAAATCTCTTCAACTATTTAAATCCTTAAACATTCAGAAGTTAATGCAGTTATCTAGATTTTAATGGACTTTATTTTAATTAGAAATGCGGACACCTGAATTTATAGGGACTTTGAAAATTCATTAAAATTTGACATAAGTCATATATGATTCTTAGTAGATATTTATAAAACATTTGGTTACCACTTGGTTATTAAAGAAATAGAATAGGTAATATTATGCTTACCCATCAAATTAAAAATTTTCTAGGAGCCGTTTGGGAGAGATTTTTCAACTCAAAAAATTGATTTTTTGATCGTTATTTCACTATTCCAACCGTCATTTTTGACCTTTTCTCTCATTGGTGGCTTCCACCTTTTTTCCTAACGGTTAAAAAACCAATTATCAAAATCACTACAATCCCTAGGTTATTAACGTTTATTAGTGAATTAGAAACTAATGTAATCAATTGTGGGTGCATTTGTAAATACATATTACGAAGTAGAAACTAGACCATAGCCCAATAATATGAAACCGATCAATCAAAAGAAAGAGAAACGCTTGCATTGTGTAAATCTGATTTTATTGATTATTCTTTGTTGTATTGAGAAACATTTTTTTCTCAAACATCATATTTTATTTCCACTTTCTTTGTTCTTCAGCTTTCCTATCCAACCCTTGGTATGATGACAACTTTGCCATGGTCATCAACAAAAATCCAAACTCGATTACTACAAAAATTTTGAGTTACTTTATTGCGTTTGGGAATTATCACACTAGTCACATTTTGATTGTCTTTCTTGATGATACTTTTATACCAACATTCTTGTAACGTTCAAATGCATAAAAGCTAACAGAAGAATAGGGAAGACGATGGACGATTGTAACCAGATTTCCCTTCCAAAATGCACGAAATCCTTCCTTTCTAAGGATCCGTGATGCTTAGTGCCATATATTAGCCTTTCTTAAGCTAGCAGCATCTGAGTGCATTCCCTGCACCTGCAGATAAAATGATGCCACGATCTCTTAGGTCATAGATAATTACATCTAAAAGAAAACGTGGGAATTTCTTTTAAAATAATTACACCTTAAGAGATTGAAACAGAGAGATGCTATGCACGTTTATGCGACTACTAACTGCTAAGATCCTTCAAACATTTCAACCTGCTTACGTTTTCTTAATACTTTTGGCTCCCTTAAATTTGGTTTATGGAGAAAATGTGTTTTGGAACAGTGATTTTTGGGATAACGGAAAAAAAAAATTGGATTTACGTCTAACATTATTTTATTAGAGAATACGTGGTTGAAAATCAGTTTCGAAAAAATGGAGGCCAAACAAGGGCATATTTATTTCGTTAATGAAATAGTAAATGGATTACCCAACGAGGTTAAAAATCTGGGTCTCTCTTCAGATTGACCAGCCAACCCATAGAAATTAACTCAATTGTTATTCTTAAGAATGCCTCAATTTTCATTTAACCTGGATAGACATGACATCCCCAAATTTAATTCAACAAAGGCGTAAGAAAAATAGCAAGAAAATAGCGTGCACCAAGTTATCCTATTGGAAACAAAGGATTGTAACTATTAGTCAATTTGTTGTTAAACGGCCTTCCCGGACTATAATGTTATTCGATTTTAATCTTCGGTCAGCTTGGCCAAATGACTAAACTAAACTGTAGCACCACAATCAAGGTGGCATGACTCAAAAGTTAATTGGGCCATTTGAAGTAACATAAATATTTTAGTGTTGCTCATGGTCCAACCCACTTTCTTGAATGACCAAAAAATGAGAGGTTTCACTTGGTAGCCCATTTGTCTATTAATTGGGCTTTACTTTACTCATTTGATGCCCTAGTGTAACTTACCTTATTGGGCTAACTTGGTTGAATATAATTGGGTCTCCTAACCGTTTGTCTTGTGACTGTGCACCTCTTGTTTACTTCTCTTTATGAGATTTGGCCTCTGCTTTCTTCTACTCTTCTGCCTCGCCATTTTCTTCCTTAATTTCTATCTTTGTGGTGATTGTTATTGAGTTATTATTAGCCTTTGGGGTCTCCTAAGTGGGTAATCTCTTTGGCAATCGAAAGTGGGAAGCTTATTTTTGTCTTGGGTCAATTGGTTGTTTGGTTGTAGTGCATTCAGTGAATAAACTGAGCATTGGCCTACCTTCATGGCCAATACACGTCCAACATCTGGTATCAGAGCATGGGTTGGTGAAATCTAGTAAAAATTAAGAGAAAAGGTTGATTCCTTCAAACTGATCGAATCTGAAATCTTCAATTACTCCTAAATGTGACCTCCGTTGGACAAACGGAGCTGGACCCACGATCAGCATGTCAAGGCGCCACCTGTGAGGCAGTGCATGGCGGCAATTTTCGACGAGATTTTGCGGACAAAATACTCATTTTAACCTCCTAAATACACTGATGTGTTTTTTTTAGAGTTTCAATTTAGTAAGAAAATTTGAATGATTTTGCCCCTGGATATCAATCCACGTTTGTGGTTGATTAGGATTGGTATATTGCTGAATTTTTATGGTGAATAGTGGTGGCCCTAAAGTAACAAATTTGCATCTCTCGACTATACGAACTCAGATAGGTCCGCTCTGATAAATTGGCTAAATCGATTTAATTTTCAGCACTAGCGCGTCATCGTGTGGGGTGACTGTAGGGTTGTGGTTATCGTGAAGGGATGACATTGTTTGTGCTAGAAATTAGGATCACTTGCTCTTAACTGTTTGATTGAGTATTTGTCTTTTGGTTAAATCAGTGTATTGTTCTTAGTGTTATAATTGTCGTGAAACTTGGTATTTGTTAGATATATCTATTTTTGTTGTATTGTTATTTCCGCTGCTTATTAACTCTGTTAGACTATCGAGACCTTACCCATTCGAACATTCCGTTGATCTAAAACCACGAATCTTATAAAACCATAGAAATTCAGAACGGACTATATTGTCTATGATCCTAGAACTACTTTGTGTAGTTTAATTGTGTTTTGTGCATTTTTGGCTGTTCTGTGAAAATGACAACTCACAGCTTTGATTTGGAGAATTTTAATGAAAAATGCGATTTTTCTATCTAGCAACAAAAATAAATGGTATTTTGGTCTAACAAAAAGTTTCAAAAGTCATTGAAAACAATTTTTTAAAAGAACAAAAGGAATAAGCCGATGAGCTTGCTTACACCTCAATTATTTTACACTTGTCTGACGCTATTTCAAGGAAGGTAGATAAACTGAAAACCTCCAAAGAACTTTGGAAAAAATTGGAAAGTATATTTGCAACTTACACCGAACAATCTTCACCTACTTGAACATTTTTTCAGCTTTAAAATGGATCATTCAAATG